TAAATCTTCATTCTTGTACTTAGTTTGTGCGAATTTTCTTCAAAATACGTGTGTGTGTGTACCATTAAAACTTATTTAAAATTAGTTTTAGTATATCAGTCAAAAGAGTCATATAAAGAGAAAATATCGTCAATTAAAATATGTCGAAAAAATGTTAAAAAAATTTATCACTTTTGCCTTACAAATGTTTAAATCTATACATTTTATCTATGTGAGTTGCAATTCTTAAGTACACATGGCTCGTTTGATTTGCATTCTTCTAGTACCCTCATACAAAAATTACATGTTAAAACGTGAAAGTGGTACATACATTTCTGTGGATGCATAACATCCACGTTTTATAGATTTTTGTAAGAATTGCTGTGATATTAACAGCACGTTTGTTTCAGTTTTTGTCAAGGAAAAAAAGATGCGAGTTAAGCAAACCATGTGTACATATGATATAAGGATATAAAGAGTGCGTAATCACGTAAAAAATGATTCAATTTTACGAAGAACGATAAAAGTTTTTGTATGCGCTTATTAAATTATTATAGAAATTATAAGTATTTCAATTCTAATAAACAGTTACATAAAATAATAAATCTTCCTTCGAATCGTTAATGAAATTTCATTTTGTGAACCTTGTAGTTAGTAACATAGTGTATAAGTACATATACAGGGTGACCCATTTAAATCGATCCAGTTAAATATCTACGAAACCATCGATGATATTAAAAAATGTAACGAAATTTAAATGGTTTTAAGGAACACGTAATTTGATATTAATAAGATTTTTCTAAGTGAATACAAGAACATATGAAGGTCAACTTAATTTTTTTAAATGGATCCATATATTTATTATTATACTAGTCGATTCATCTCGTCATTCTTTTCATAAAAATACGAAGGAATTTATTGCGAAAAATCATTGGTTTAGAAGATACTTTAATTTTAGTAATGCATAGTGTTAACACTCACCTATTTAAAGTTGGTGTTCAAAAATATGACCTTCAACCTGAATACAAAGATCTACACACGGTCTCTAAAAGATACTAAAATTGAAATATGTATTAGTGTTTTTATAAAGAGAATGACGAGCTGAATCGATTAGTATAATAAAAAATATATGATTCAATTTAAAAAGATAAAGTTGACCTTCATATGTTCTCGATGCTTTCAATTAAAAAAATCTTATTAATATCAGATTACGTGCCCCCTAAAACCAACCAAATTTCGTTAAATTTAAAAGATATTTGACTGCAATGATTTAAATGGATCACCCTGTATACAATTTTTCATAAAAGTATTAATATAATACAATAAATAATCACAAGTTTAAGGGTGGTACAATAAAACATTTTAATCATGCTCCCGAAAACAATAATTGTTTGACCGATCTAAATTAGAGGATTTACGATGTTTATTTCTATATTGTATCTCTACACCCTTAGGATAAGAATTTCCGTTTAATTCTAATTCATGTACCTTAGCTCGACTACGCCAAACTTTAATGGTCTCATCATCGCTAGTTGTAACTAACATTTCAGAATCACATGGATTGAAGGCAACACAGTTCACAGCATCGGAATGACGGAACTTGGCCAAATGTACTCTATAGTGTCTATCCCAAAGATAGGCATGTTTATCTTCAGCGCCACTAATAAAACATTTCAACATAGATTTAATATTTATATAGTTTTACATGTATACTCAGTAAAACTAATATACAATTTTGATACCTTGCTACATATTCATCACATACATCAAGAAAAGTGTCAAAACATTCATGATAATGTGCATAAGTTTTATGAGCTCTTGACACTCTTGATATGCAACCAACTTGTTCAAATGTCATTAAGTCAATTACATGAATATCTATCTCTTTAGCCATTGGTGGTGGTTGGGGGCTATGGCAATCTTGTGGCCATGATCTTATGTTAACATATAAATACCTGAGTGGGTGTATAAAATATGATGATCAGTGAAAGTGTAAAATATACTATGTTTCGCGTTAATAATGTAAATAATTAACCTATGATCTGGAGAAAGTCCCATTCCTACTATATGTCCATATAAATCAATTACATAATCAACATTATCGAATTTTTCAACTATAGGGGCTACATCATCATAATCTAAAACATCAACCAAATTTTGCCTCACTCGATCTCTCTCTAATTTTCTGTCCCGTTTTCTTTCTTTTAATGTATACAGTCGTCCCGACTCTAAACTAGTAGGAAATTTTATATTTTTTACTCTTTTAAAAGCTATTTGATGCGAATGATAATATGGCACCGAACCAGTTGCAAAAATAAGATATTTTTCGCAACTATTCGCTATCTCAGCGACTTGATCATCTTTCATATTTATGGATTCTGTAAATCAGAAGTATAAACTGTAAACATTATAATTACTTAAATAGCACTAAATTTTACTCACGTTCATTTTCCCTATGCTGCTGAAAATTTTCCGTACGAGGGGATTTTTTATGCTGAGACTTATATTCCCGATCGTATTGTAAGGGATCGATATATTGAAAATAATCATGTTTCATAAATAGATGCTCTGCTGTAATTAACCTATTTGCACATACTTTGGTTAATGTGAAGAATATTCTGTGCGACAAGTTCAACATTATTCCCTATCTAACTTTTGCTTACTGTAATCCAAATGATGCTTGTTTGGAAAAGAATTTGTTTTTCTTCAACTTACTTTTGCCGAATAATCTGACTAGCATGATCAGAAGTTGTAGGTGAAATATCTTCATTGTTTGATAGATCGTTTTCAACCTTTTTTACATTCGAAAAGGATGATTGATTGTCTTGTTCTGCAGAATTAGTTTCTTCAGATGTTATACAATTAGCTAACATAATTCCACGAACCGCTGAATCATAACCATTGAAAAACCTAAAATAATAAAACCATTTGAAATGACAAAATTATTTATAGAGTACATAAACATGCCTGTAGTGTACATAAAGAATACCTAAAAACTTCTTTTAGAATGGGTATGTTTTCACTCGATACCTCTTGATTTGCCTTAGACAACCAAAGTAGACTAGTAGTAGGAAGCGGATTGCCATGAGCAAGTCCATGATGCCGATGCAGACTTCCACTTAAAAGGTAATGTTCACTGTACCACGTGCCATATACGTCATAGGGATCATTATCTACTCTACATTGTAAATCAAAACCAGCTGCAATAAACAAATCAATACTTATTCATAATATGTTTCCTATTATAATATTTGTAATATTTTGGAATCTATTAATATTCTTACATATTAAGCTGAATACTGCAATTTCACCAAAATTTCTGTAGAAAGTTCCACAATGTGTACCAGAAACAAGTAACAATGTATCAGAGGAGTTAAATTGTGAGAATTGTGTATATTTCCATCCAAAGAACTTCATATTAGAGTCATACTTTATTTTAACAGGATATTGGCTTTCCCATACCTAAATGTTGTCCCACAATTATTTTTATAGTTGCAAAAACAAATATTAGATTCTCTAGAAATAATTTGCAACTTTATGTACAATATTTAGAATTGTAAAACTTTAACATAAAATGCATTGCTATTTATATACTTTTGTAAACATAATATAATGCTACAGAATAGCATAATAAATTATATGAAATATACATTGCAGAATAAACATGAATTAAGAATCTGTAATACAAAAAGCTTTAAATATCAGACTTATTTGAAACTTATTTTTTGGTAACCTAATGTATACATTATAATAACATCATGATATTGAAATTACAAACAATAGTAACTTACAAAAATAAATCCATCTTGTGAACACGTGGCAAACATTTCTCCATTGTGTGAGAAGCTTACATGTAATACTTTATGAGAGTGTTCTTTAAGTTCTTCTGTTTCTATGAGCGGTATATGATATGTCAATCGTTTAAATTCTCCTAACCAAGATGTTTTTCCTATAAAATTTAATAAATTTTATATTACACTGTAAAATATAACATTTTAAAAGCATAAAACAAAGAAAAAAAACAAATTTTAATATATTAAATTGGTACATATAAATCCTATTTCTCAATTTTAATTTGGGAAGTCTATATATAAAAATAGTAATATAGATAAAAACAATCGAAATATTTATATAGACAGTAAAATTAGAATTTGATGATTATTTAATATAACGTATAAAATTATAAGGAATCTAAGTATTTGGTAGAGAAAAGAAGTTCTTATATGCACCAATAAACTATGTTATCTTTGTTGTTATTTTTATGATGATGTTAACCTGGCATCATTCCAATATTCGGGTCTATTTCATATGTTTGATAGAATAGATCTTTCCAAAGGAATTCATCGTAAGACACTCTATGCCAGGATTTGCATACTTTTCTAGCGATTATTAATTCTTTCGGTGTCAAGTATTGGAAAATATTTAAAAGAATAGAATCCGGCATATAACACCATTTGCTGTTTCTTTTAAATATCCCTGATAGATCATCGCTTTCCTCACTTAACGCAATTTCTTTTTCTTCATTATTTTTTCGATTTTCTAAAGCACTTTCGATGATATCCATTTAGAACAGGATTCCTTGTTTAAATACTAAAACAGCTGATATCTATCAGCAATTATCGATCGAGATCGACGGTTCACGTGTGTCATAAAAGAGATATAAGAATAGACTGGACATACAATGAATTTTCGTGGCTCAGTTTTCTGACGGGTGAATTCTCTACTACACATACCATTTTTGTGTCTACATACATACAATAATATTGAGTAATATGTATTTCATGTTTTGCAAGACTCATCGGCCGCAGCGCGTTCCGTTAGTGAAAATAGAAGTAGAAATTGCTTTGCTTTGATTGACTGACGATTCAATGCTACGGCAGGATTCACTGTGAATTAGATGCGCAGTAAATTCAAAATAGAATGCAAGCGCTTGGTTAGGGAGGTAGAAAAATGTACAGAAGTCCAGGAATGATAATACGAAGTAAATAGAGAAACTGCTTCTTCTCTGATTGCTTGATGCTTTACAGCTAAATAGTGCTACCCTCAAAGTTTTAAACAAAAAGAGAAAGTGGCGAGTGAACAAGAGGGCATGATATCAACACAACAAAGTGAAACAAGTCACACTGACGACGAATGTAGCTTATCTTACTATACCATGCGATGTCACTCTATTCGCGCATCCGTTTGAATCGCTCTCTATCTGAAACACTCGGCGCGATATTCAACTTGTATTTTTCGCCCCGTAAGATTCTCGAACACACAATCCAGTATATTTGCGAACGTCTTGAAACGACGATCATTTCTACAATTATTTATTTAATTAGCTAATGGTTTCTACTTTATGAATCTACAAAATTTTGTTAATTCAGCCACCCCAGTATGTACTTGTTAACTGGAACGGACAGCATTCAATATCCTATTATACGAGAAGGAGTTTCGCAAGCAACGAATAATTTCACAATTATCGAAGCTGGGAAAGAAACTGGGAATATAAGAAAATGTTGTTTGTGGGTCTGCATAACATAGAAAATGGTATTCTATTATCGCATCGACATTACCACTTCTGAAGTCGATAAGGCTGGAATGAATTTGAGGTCCGGAAAGGGCCGTTATTATTAAATAGAAGAGCCTGGGAACACAGGAGGTTGTTGTAGCTTCTGATTCGATCGGAAAAGGAGTAAAGTCGAATTTCGCAGCTTGTGNTTTGCTTTGATTGACTGACGATTCAATGCTACGGCAGGATTCACTGTGAATTAGATGCGCAGTAAATTCAAAATAGAATGCAAGCGCTTGGTTAGGGAGGTAGAAAAATGTACAGAAGTCCAGGAATGATAATACGAAGTAAATAGAGAAACTGCTTCTTCTCTGATTGCTTGATGCTTTACAGCTAAATAGTGCTACCCTCAAAGTTTTAAACAAAAAGAGAAAGTGGCGAGTGAACAAGAGGGCATGATATCAACACAACAAAGTGAAACAAGTCACACTGACGACGAATGTAGCTTATCTTACTATACCATGCGATGTCACTCTATTCGCGCATCCGTTTGAATCGCTCTCTATCTGAAACACTCGGCGCGATATTCAACTTGTATTTTTCGCCCCGTAAGATTCTCGAACACACAATCCAGTATATTTGCGAACGTCTTGAAACGACGATCATTTCTACAATTATTTATTTAATTAGCTAATGGTTTCTACTTTATGAATCTACAAAATTTTGTTAATTCAGCCACCCCAGTATGTACTTGTTAACTGGAACGGACAGCATTCAATATCCTATTATACGAGAAGGAGTTTCGCAAGCAACGAATAATTTCACAATTATCGAAGCTGGGAAAGAAACTGGGAATATAAGAAAATGTTGTTTGTGGGTCTGCATAACATAGAAAATGGTATTCTATTATCGCATCGACATTACCACTTCTGAAGTCGATAAGGCTGGAATGAATTTGAGGTCCGGAAAGGGCCGTTATTATTAAATAGAAGAGCCTGGGAACACAGGAGGTTGTTGTAGCTTCTGATTCGATCGGAAAAGGAGTAAAGTCGAATTTCGCAGCTTGTGCAATTCTGGAGTTTGAACTCCGCCCATATTTTCACGTCCTGACGAGTGTACCTGCCACGAAGTACGATTTTTCAGCTTCAATTTGAGCCATCACATTTTTGGAAATTCTCACGAGAACACATTTTAAAACTGATTCGAATTAAGCCCCTAAAATCGAGACAATTCCCACAGAACCGTAGGTAGCAATTTATCACTTCTCGGTGGGACATTGGATTTCCTCGCAAACCAAGGTATACCTGCCTCAAAATGCAGATTTTCAGCTTTAATTTGAGCCATCATCAGTTTGGAAATTTCTCCGAGAACACATTCTAAAACTGATTTGAATTAACCCCTTATGTCATAACGCTGACTGATGCACGTTCACGTACGTTGCGTGGAAGTCCGCCAGCACCGATCGGTTGTGTGATTTTGGAAGTCGCTCCGAAATCATTAATCTGCGGCTCCAACACTAATAACATTTTAGTTAATTCAAGCGCGATACCGATATTTCAAAATATACTGGTATTTAATCCCCGGAAATTGAAATTGAAAGTGAAACTGAAATTTCGGTATAATACCGATATATTAGAATGGCTAAAAGAATAACAAATTAAAAGGTACGGAAAACATGGAGTAGGAATATAGAAGAATCCAATTACGTTTCAATTTTAATACTGATTAAAACGATTCATTAAATTTTAGGAGTTTATATTTTTCTTAGCAATACTGGTATTATACCGCTATATATTTCGGCATTTTTGCCGGTATAGATGTCAAATACTGGTAAAATATGTATGAAAAATCCGTATTAAAACCGTTTTAGCTAATGTAGAGAGAGTAAGTATTGAAAACTATTCTATTTATTACTAAACAGTGACGTAATCGTGTGAATGCTCGTCGCGATCTGCCTCACGCCCTGCGAGCGTGTTCTTTTATCCGTGCACTGGATAAACGTTACAAGTCTCCTTTCGAATTTGGCCGTCTCGCTCGACTAGCGTCTAACGCCCGCCGATCACCCTAGCAACGTCGCGACGCTCACGTACGCACGCACACGTATGTAGCGTGTGGTAACTCACGGGAGTCCGCGAACGCGATTGGTGTTGCGACTTCGGAGGTCTGTCCGAAATCGTTATCTTACGGCTCTAGCTCTAATAACGGTTTAGCTAATATTAATATGATACTGATAGCTGAAAATATACCGGCATTGAATTCCTGGAAATTGGAATTGAAATTTGAATACAATCGAAATTGAAATTGTAATTGAAATTGTAATTGACATTGAAATTGGAATTTTATATGTATACAGTAATTACTAATGAATTTATGGTTTTTCACCGGGAAGAAATGCTTTTCAATTTAAAATAATTGGGGGATGTGTGAAGATATTAAATATATTCGTTTATACATAGCAACGGAGGCAAACAATTTTTATCAGCGAAAATAGGAATCTCAAAATGTTCAAGTTTGAGAGCACGTACCAGTTACGACTATCATCGAATTTGATTAATATTCATCCGATTGATCTGGTCCGTCTATTTATTTGGGCATTGTGTAATTATTCGAATTATAAAGAGGATATGTGTTAACTGTTCTTGTCTTTATGTAGTTTTAAGAGGATATATTTATACGAAGACACTGAAGATCAGTTGAATTGGCATATAGTAATCGAAATAATTTTCTTAGTGGAATAAACATGTGTCTAATATGCAGTTTCTCAATGTGTATGCTATAAAATAAGATGAAATCTATCTAGATATCTAGACCAGTAATAAAAGGATTAACGATACCTGGATACTCTTTTCGTCCGAGCCCTAGTGCATGCTAGACTTTTTCGAGCTTGGGCCCCTGGTGGGCTCAGCATGGTGCAGAGCAGTTTGCAACCTCCTGTGCTCCATAGCCTCCTCTAGTTAACAATCTCCAATAATTCTTAACTCTAATTCTCTAAATCTCAGAGTTTCAGAATTTTTTGTAGGTAATTACTAAATTAAATGTGTAGTCTTTCTAAGTGAAGAGATAATCGTAATTATATTCTGAGTAAAAGTCACTTGTAAGGAAACTAGTGTATAAAAGGATATAGAAAAGGAAATACGTACATAGTAATTAATATAAAAATGCGTTTATCGTTTACACTGATTTCACATACATTCTTGCTGTACATCACACTTACAATTAGTACTCACATAATGTATACACAATCATATCTGTAGTTGAATACAGGGGAAGTTTGTGTATTACTATTACTATGTTAAGAATTACTGGTTTGAGGAACCAATTGATTTTCCGTTTGCATGTAAAATTGCTCTCCAAACCACTCTCTGTGCATTTCCAGGTAACTGCAATAACGAGAACATAGTAATTGGTTTTTGAAAATAAAAAAGACAGTTAAGGTGCATTTCAGTGGGAATTACCTGAGAAACATGTCTAAAAACTTTAAGAGAACTTTTAATTTTTTATTCGGTATGTCCGCCGATTGTAGTAGGTCTGGTAATTTAACTGAAGAATACAAAAAATTTATTAAGTCAGTTATATTAATTAGATCATTTCTTTTTAAATTACGCACCGAATAGTCGAGTTAAATGAATAGCACCGTAATAAGTAGAAGGATTGGGGGGACCTTCAGTCTTTGACGATTCAGGCATTAATCTCCATTTATTAGCTTGTTGGAGCAAGGCATTGACTTGTGCAGATGTAACAACTGGTATTCTTAGGGTTACACCGCGTGGGCTAGAACAACGAGAGCTTGTACTTGCAATACTATAAAAACAACAAGAAAAAAAGAAATTAACAAATCTGTAACTACAAAATAAAACGTAAAATTTATGGACTCCTTAATGCTTTTATTATATTCAAATACATGTTCACCTTGATAAAGTTCCTGTGTCTGGTTTGATTTCTTCATACGATCTCAGTTGTCTATTTTCATCGATAGAGCTCACTCTACATGATCTAAGTTTTCTTTTAGAACCTGCTATGGTCTTTGATGCATTGTCAATTTCCGGATCATGTTCTTGAAACGGTGGTAAATGAGCATATTCCGTAGTATCTTCATATTCTTCTTTTACTAATACTTCAGAATTCCTTGAAATTACAATAATTTGGTATTTTTTAAAGTTCTAAAAGAGCAGAACTTCAATAAATCGGAGCATGTCAAAAATTTCAGTCTTACTCTATTGGTTCTTCTTTTATGAGCGTTGGATGTTCACTATACAAGAAAGATGATTTCAAATTACAATACTGTTCTCGTTCCTGCCTATACAGCAAAAGATCATGTAATGTGAAATCAAAATATATACGTAATCCATCCGCAACTTCTCTGCATATGTTTATTTCGTTGATTGTTTTTTCTATCGTATTATTTGTTTTGTTTCTTTGAGGCTTTTCTGGAATGTTTGTTAGTTGTGTTGTTGTAAAGTGCTGCACCCATGATTCCAACATATTTACAACAGTAGGTTGTGCTGGTAAAACTGCTAACTGAAATCCATACATGACTTACTATTTAAAAATGTTACAATATGATAACATAGATGAAATTTCATATATATTTACAAAAAATGTCACCTTATTTTTGTTAGTTATGAGATCATAGTCTTGATCTAAAATTCTTCTTAACATGGTACCTATGTCCAGATCAATTCCTGGTTTTACACTGGCTCCAGATTGGCTACCACCACCACTATCTTCATCGTCACTTGTTTCTCCAACATAGTCAGAACTACTTTCTGTGTCCTCTTCAGTAATAACTTCCTTTAGTAGTAAAAACAGTTTTTTTTTTTTAATTCGGTATATTTTAACACATGTAGTGATTACTATTAATTAATTAACCAACTTCTGTGTCATAATCTGCATGTTGTCCTGAGCTACCATCTTCTGATGATCCAGTTGTTGCTGATGTTGCTCGACTCCCACCACTTCTTGCTCTCCTTCGTGGCTCTTGATTTTCAGATTCATTTAACCGATCAGATAGCTTGTGACTTCTTTTTTTACGCTCTCGTCGATATAAATAAGCACCCCTATTTGCAATTACATTGATAGAATAAACAGTAACTATAGCAGCAGAAAAATTATACTGATCAGATTGTATTAAATACATACAACTGTAATTGTGCTTTCTGGGCTAAGTCTCGTTGAAGTTGACGATTTTCTTCTGTATCTTTTAATACATACTCCTCCGTTACACAACGATCCCATGAAGAATTCCACCCCTTTGTAAAAATATTTTAGGTTACATGATTTTACAATTTATAATTGAAACAAAAAAAATGGAGTAATCGTAATGAAGTATCTACCTGGAAATGTATTAAATATTCAACAGCTTTTCTTCCTCTTTGATCTTTATTAACTATTACATCAAGTACCTGCAGAAGAAGTATAAAATAAAACAAATTGATTAAATGATCAATAAATATAATTTAAGCGTAATTAATTTTGTTCCTAATGCATACCTTTGAGTCATACAGTACTTTTGCTTTTGTAGGATCAGGTTCATAACAAAGAACTTTTTCACCGTCACAAAATTTAAATTTTGGTCCGCGGGTAGAAACCATTCCTCTTTATTAAACGTCAGAATCAAATATCAAACTAACTTCACAAATAATAGTGTAGCACTGCGGATAGATGATTAATATTATTTAGACTGACATGATAACCTAGTCCACCAACTCTCAAGTCAACAAACATTGACGCTTACACAAAAACGTATAACATTATTAATATGATCTGTTTCTATTCAGAGTGTTAAACGATTTAGATTATTGATTGCATTTAAGTCACAGATGATGTGCTGTCAATAATATATCGATACAAATTTAAGTCTCCCGGTATTAAATTTGCTTATAAGATTACGTTGGTTAGTTTGTATACAACTAACCTAACGTGAGCTCAAATTTAAGTGCGGTGCGGCGCAGTATATATTTGAAAGAATCACAAGTTTTTAACGCGCCAAGAAAAACTAAAATTACATTCTATCTGTGTTATGTACTTTCCTGATCATAAAATATTAATAATGTTTAACAATATTGGATTAAACAGATATGAATAATTGTCATTTCTATATCTTCAGAAATTATAAAGATTAAAAAATCATTTAAGTTTTGAAGATCTGTTTAAACTATTTAAAGACATATTCCTTAAAAAGTCTAATTTGATAATTGTATATCTTTCCAATGTAAGTGTAGAAGCTTCGATTGCAATTTTTGAATTAATTAATTTCATAACAAAAACGAATTTTAGAATGCGATTATGATTTATTTACTTAAAAAAAAGTCTGCACAACTAATTTTTCATATGAAAAAGTTGTACATGAATCATTGATTCCGCTAAGGGCCTAGGGTAGTCATGGACTTTACGGATTCAGCAGGTCGGTATCTGCAGCATAGATTTCGTTACACAAATGGTATTATCTGGAGATGTATAGCTGCTTGATAAATACGAGATGGAGCTACCGGCGTTTTCTATTAGGGATGAAAAAGAAACTCAGTTTGAATAGAAATGTATTCTCTGGATCGAGAAATGCAGTGACATTTTCTTATAACTTTTGAACCATTGGAGGTATTGCAATGAAATTTTCGTTAAAAATATTAAAAAAATAATCATTCTTAACTTAATTAAATACTTTTGCATTATAATAATAATCATAATTTTTTCAGCGGTGCGGATTGAGAAATACAATGCCGTTTTTGTATAACTTTTTAACCATAACAGATATTGGTAATAATATACAATAATTAATATACATTAATAATATACAAATTTTATGTGACAAACAGCCTGAAATAACTGCTCCTTCCTTGCTAATTACTGTCCTGAAATTAGTTTTATTTGCTCTCTTCCATATTTGATGAAATTTAAAAACAATCAAGCTGCCAGTTCTCCTTTCTAGGCTAGATTAGACCGACATTTAGAAGTTGTTTAATGTCATCGAGCGATGTCTTCAACAGTTGCTCCTTCCTTGCTCCGGCTTTCTCTGTAATTACATTTACTGGTTCCTTTGTAGTTTTTTTTTGAAATTTCCGAAATACTACAAGCTGTATTCATAGTCCCGATTACCGACTCAAGGAGTTNCCGAGTGTTGCTCCTTCCTTGCTCCGGCTTTTTCTGTAATTACATTTACTGGTTCCTTTGTAGTTTTTTTTTTGAAATTTCCGAAATACTACAAGCTGTATTCATAGTCCCGATTACCGACTCAAGGAGTTGTTTAAAATGGGTTCGGTGAACACAGACCTAAGACAGAGTTGGTCATTGTTTAGATAAGAAATTATTTAAATAATGATTCGAATGAAAGATACTTTACCTTTATTTGTTATTCGAATGTTCAAATAAAAAAAGTATTCTTATTCGACGGGTATCGAATAAATAATTTCATTCGACGAGAACTTATCCAACGAACAAAGATACTATTTCCTATTTGAAGTGTATTTATTCGTAGCGTCGAGTAAAATAATCATTTGTGCGTTTTTTATCTTTTATTCGTTATTCGATATTTTTATTTAGGTCGTTTCCAAAAAACACATCTGTAGCTAAAACGTGTGCCGTCAGGTGACATAGCCTGGCATTCTTCTATTTTATTGTCTATACTCGAATTTGGTTGCACACATTGTGTCCTTCCGCGACAGGGAACTTTTCTATGACGGAAAATCTTCTCCATGTTAAAAGGGAGGCATGCCAAAACTATTTACAAACTATAAACAAATATAAAGTGGTATATGCGTCGGCATGAAGTCGTCGCTTTAAACGTATAAACATGCACATAAACACATTGCGGCCGCCAACAAGAAATTTATATAAGGATTGTAAAAAAGATCCTACTATTCCTTACCTATAAATTTAATTTATTAACAATTAACAAATGCATTTTCAGTAATTACATTGCTACATGTGAAACAAAATTGCTCGCTTGCCTCGCTTATTCGAAATAAGACTAACTAAGAAACCAAGATCAATTTCAATTACTAGCAACTTTGAAACAATTACATTACATTGTATGTGTCAATCGTTAAGTGACTTGCTTGATTGATACCGCAGGGGTTCCTGACTCCCGTTGCAAGAATTTTGGATCGACGGTAAATATGGAAAATAAATCTTGAAAACGGTTTTTGATTTAATTGTCAAAATTTTATTTATGTATGGAAAAACATGATTTTCACAGACGTTTATACGTACTTGGTATATGTCTATCATCTACGTGAAAGTGGATTACCTAATACATATTTAAGCTTCGAAAGTTTTTCTTTATCTGGAGTTATGTTAGTTAATTTTGTTTAAACATTAGATAGTAAAACAGACAAGAGAATATTAGAAGGTTTCATTAGGGAAAGAAATTCTTATAATTATTATTAAAAAAACAGGTAGAAATAATAAATGTATCGATAGATTCGATGTAATGTATGCTTAACGTTATTAATTACTTCCGTTAAGAAATGATACGACGAAATAGCCACGAGAGAATTTAATAATATCATTGGCAACAATTTCTCGAAACATTAGTGCTCGAAAAATTACTCCATATGTCTGATTCTATCAATTATTTTCACCAACTAATTAAATGGCAAAATAGCCAGTGTGCTTCTTAACCATACTTCTAACAAGCAGAATTATTGCAAATATTAAGAAGCGAGAAATAATAATTTAATTAACAAGAGCAATTCGATATAATAACTTAAACAATTTGATCGATTTATGGAAGTTTCTTGTTAATTAAACCTCGTTGGTACTTTTCATGAATAATTTAAGTGATGAAATAATTTTTCAGGCACCAGATAGCATTATTGTAAAATAAATTATCGCGAATATTAAGTAATTGGAAATAATCGAAATTATCGATCGCAGTCGATCGCGCGATCGTCGATCGTCAAAGTCAATGGTACCCTTCGTGCTCGCTCGGTTCAAAGTTGTTGATCAATCAGTCGGAACTTGTCTAATGTGGGAATCAGTCGTGTTTCAAGAAAGCTCTTCCACAAGTGTCATTATAATAAATCAAATTGTTAAGAATTAATATATAGTATAATTTTAAAGGAAAATTAGTGCGTGTGATTATAATAAATTAAATTGTTAAGAATTAATATATAATATAAGTTTAAAGGAAACTTAGTGCGTAAAATTATAATAAATTAAATTGTTAAGAATGAAGATGTAATATAATTTTAAAGGAAACTTGGTGCGTGAAATTAAGCGCGCTTCAAGAAAGCTCTTCTAAAAGTGTTATTATAATAAATTAGATTGTTAAGAATTAAGATATAATATAATTTTAAAGGAAACTTAGTGCTTGAAATTGTAATAAATTAGATTGTTAAGAATTAAGATGTAATATAATTTTAAAGGAAACTTAGTGCGTGAAATTAAGCGCGCTTCAAGAAAGCTCTTCTAAAAGTGTTATTATAATAAATTAGATTGTTAAGAATTAAGATATAATATAATTTTAAAGGAAACTTAGTGCTTGAAATTGTAATAAATTAGATTGTTAAGAATTAAGATGTAATATAATTTTAAAGGAAACTTAGTGCGTGAAATTAAGCGCGCTTCAAGAAAGCTCTTCTAAAAGTGTTATTATAATAAATTAGATTGTTAAGAATTAAGATATAATATAATTTTAAAGGAAACTTAGTGCTTGAAATTGTAATAAATTAGATTGTTAAGAATTAAGATGTAATATAATTTTAAAGGAAACTTAGTGCGTGAAATTAATCGCGTTTCAGGAAAGCTGTTCTAAAAGTGTTATTACAATAAATTAGATTGTTAAGAATTAAGATATAATATAATTTTAAAGGAAACTTACTGCGTGAAATTATAATAAATTAAATTGTTAAGAATTAAAATGTAATCTAATTTTAAAGGAAAATAAAACTTTAATAACTCATCGACCGATTTGTGCAAGTCTCTTGTTAATTAAACTTCGTGGGTACTTTTCATAATCAATTTAAGCGATTAAATAATTTTTTGGGCACCGAATAGCATTATTGCAAAATAAATTATCGTGAATATTAATTAATTGGAAATGATCGAAATTATCGATCGCCGTTGATCGTCAAAGACAAGGTTAAATTTCTTTGTCTTTTGTTAAATCCGTTTGTTCTTTGTTTGCTCGCTCGGCTCAAAGTCATTGCTCGATTAGTCGTTACTCGTTTAGTGGAAGAATCAGTTGCATTTGGGGAAAGCTCTTGAAAAGTGATATTATTATAAATTAAATTGTTAAGAATCAAGATATAATATAATTTTCAAGGAAAGTTATTGCGTTAAATTGCCTAATTAATTGTTGAAACAACTACTATAATAGAATATAATAGAAAGTGTACAAAATCTAAGTAAATTGGATCTTTTCACTCGGGTCAGGCAGTGCACAATCAATTTTATTGTTCGGAAAGTTTAGTGTTAATAGAAATTCGCTCTGCTTCCTTCTAAAATCGAAGTTGATTAATTTTCTATTTAATTCGAATCTAAATTTACTTAACATTCGGTAAAATTATTATTAATAGATATCTGTCAAAATCGTATCTCCAATTTTAACGCGAATCTTCAAGTGGTTTCCAATAATTTCTAAATCTTTTCCAAATGGAAATTAATATTTTCGATTAAAATCTTAAATGTGTGTGTCATGGAAACTTGTGCACTTCTTGCTGTTGCTTCCTCTCTCCTACTGCTGTCTTCTTCAACTGCCGCTATTGCTACTCCGCTGCTACTTCCGTTTACTTCTTCCTACTACGAACTCCAGAACCAACATCGCATCGAAATGTAAGTCACATGCTCTTATTTTACCAGTAGTTCTCTCAATTTTTTCGAGTACAGTGACCACATACTTGTGACCACATACTTACGATTTCTATTGTATATTTAGTTAGGATGTTTTCTTTTCGATGACTTGCGTTTTCCG